AGAGCATGCCCATCAGAGCAGCACAGAATTCAGACCAGAAGTTTCCAGAGGCGGGAGCTAATGAGAATCTGCTGGCTGTGTTCTCTCCATACAAAGTAGCTTTTGGGGTGCCTTGGTTTCTGATAATTTGGGCATTTCGCCTCCCCTTCCCCCTCCACTCAGCATTGCTTCAGACTCTGCTTGGATTGTAGAACTAAAGGGTATAACAGGTACATCTGAATTAACAACAACAAAGAAAAACCAAAACCAAACAAGACCCTGACAAGTATCCCATTAACAATTCCAAGTTGTCCTCAGTGGAGGGGCTAGGTAAGAAGGTACCAAGGATGCCCAAGCAGAGAGAGTTGGAGAAGACAAGGCCGCTGAAGAGCAATGAACTGTAAGGGAGGAAGCGGCCAGGAGAGGCGCTGCTGCCAGGGCTGGGAAGGGGCAAGTGTGTGAACCAGATCTCCCCAGGTTCACTATCTACCACAGTGAGACGGGTCTAGAAGTCGAAGCAGCGGTGACCATGTGACATTTCACACTCTCTGTCACCCAGGGAGTCCTGGAGCTGTGGCTGGGCCGGGGTTAGTGATGTAGAGTGAGGATCCTAGGTTGAGCTCTCCTGAGTGGGCTCTGTCAAGACTCACTCAGCAGAGCTGGAGTTCTCAGGGGCTCAGCTGGGGCTCAGAGAGAGAGAGCTGGGGCTCAGCGTGCTTCTAAGAGAGAGCAGACAGTAGGTGTCAGGAGGTTGAGGGTGGGGGCTCAGTTCTTCCTTGTGGGGTCTTCCCAGCACTCTTGAATATGCACACTACAGCAATTGACTTGTCCCTGAAGGGATGTGTGTGTGTGTGTGTGTGTGTGTGTGTGTGTGTGTGTGTGTGTGTGAGAGAGAGAGAGAGAGAGAGAGAGAGAGAGAGAGAGAGAGAGAGAGAGAGAAGAAGAAGAAAGAAGAGGAGGAGGAAGAGGAGGAGGAAGAGGAGGTAGCTACTGCTTCAATGTCTCTAGTACTTATCCTTAGAAGCCACTGGCCGTGGGACCACAAACTCCCAAGACACTGAAGATGTCATGTGCAGCAGAACACAACCTACAGACACCTCCCATCCCAAAGCCAAGCTATGGCTGGGGTCCCGTCCCTGCACCCACACTGTTGCTTCTGGGTAGGTCTTGGTCCACCAATTATGATTTCACAACCAACAGGACTCAATTTTGTAGAGGAACGGTCTTGTTAAATAAGAAACACAGAGCCAATGCAGAGATGAAAGCCCAAGAGGTCAGAGCTAAAAACCTTACCCTTCACTGCTGCTGTTGTCCTCTTCAGCAAGAGCTACTTCCTGTGTGTTTGTCTTTATATAGATTTCTGTTCTGCCTTCTCATTGGTTGTAAACCCAACCACATGACCTCCTCGTCACTGCCTGTCTGTACAGACCTCCAGGTCTTCTATGGTTGGTATTGAGATTAAAGGCATGTGTGTCCATGCTGACTGTATCCTTGAACACACAGAGATCCACCTAGCTCTGCCTCCCAAGAGCTGGGATTAAAGGCGTGCACCACCACTGTCTAGCTTCTGCTATGTCTTGCTATTAGCTCTGACCCCCAGGCAACTTTATTTATTAACATACAAATAAAATCACATTTCAGTACAATTAAAAATATCACCATACAAGTTCTTCAGTGACATAGACTCCAACAGCTGCACCTGCTGAGACCCTGGCATGGCCATGGCCGGTGAGGATCATGATGCCACCTGTCTCCTCAGCCATCTTTGTCAGTGGTCAGATCTCTGCTGTCGGAGGGCCACCAGAGGACCCAGCACTCTTTGTAGCCATGCCATCAGAGTATGTGGTGACTTCTTCAACATCATCATCTCGCTATTTTCTGCCATTGCTCAGGTCAGGAGTAAGGTGACCTTTTGTGGTCTTTTGTCTCCTCCTTGACCCCCCCAGACCATGTCTCTTTATCCATCGTGACACCAAGTGCTTCCCTTAAACACAGAATGCATGAACAATACTGTGGTATTGTATTCCCCCAAATATTGTGCATGCTAATAAACTTATCTGGGGTCAGAGACAGAGCAGCCACAATATTAAACATAGAGGATAGGCAGTGGTAGCACATGCCTTTAATCCTAGCATTCCAGAGGCAGAAATCCATGTGTTCAAGGATATAGACAGGCATGGTAACTCATCATGCCTTTAATCCCAGAAAGCAAGCCTTTAATCCCAGGGAGTGGTGGTAGAAAGCAGAAAGGTATATAAGGCGTGAGGACCAGAAACTAGAAGCATTTGGCCTGGTTAAGCTTTCAGGCTTTGAGCAGCATAGTTCAGCTGAGAGCCACTGGGATGAGAACTCAGAGGCTTCCAGCCTGAGGAAACAGGACCAGTTGAGGAATTGGCAAGGTGAGGTGGCTGTGGCTTGTTCTGTCTCTCTGATCTACCAGCATTCACCCCAATAACTGGCCTCAGGTTTGATTTTATTAATTAGAACTTTTAAGATTCATGCTACACAATACCTCGTGGACTGTGCTGAGTCTGGGGACTTCACTGTCACTGAGAGTCATTGGGCCCCACTTGGCACCCAGTCTCTCCCCAACCCACCCCCTGCCCTGTGCGCTGATGGAAGCTGTGCAGTGTAATGCATGGGGTGGCTGTGAATCTGGGGTGGAGACACCCATGAAGGCAATGGTCTCTATGGGTGTGGACAGTTGTCCCACCCTCGGGTCCAGTTGAAGCAGAACAGATTTCCCGTGGAACTTCTAAAGGCTCATCCACATCTTAGGCTTGAGCACAGACCTGTGTTGTGGAAGTTTTGTTTAACTGTGCAAAGATACGTTGCTGTTTTACTTTGCCTGCCTGAAGGACCTGATTGTTCTCATAACAGCCAATATCAAGGGAAGCGGCATAGGCAGAGCTTGTGGGCAGGGAGAGTAAGAGGAGGAATCTAGGCTCAAGAAAGAAAGAAAAAGGAAGAAAGAAAAGGAGATGACAGGGAGACACCAGGGGCCAGCCAGCCAGACAGACGCGGAGGAAGCAGGAAAGTAGGACATACAGAATGAAAGGTAAAAAGCCCTGAGGCAAAGCATAGATGAAGAGAAACAGGTTAAATTAAGTTAAAAGAGCTAGTGGGACAAGCCTAAGCTAAGGCTGAGCATTCATAATTAATAATAAGTCTCTGTGTCTTTATTTGAGAGCTGGTTAGCAGCCCAAAGAAAATACCAATGACAGATCTGTCTCCAGTCTCCTTCCCTTCAGCAGGTAGAGGGTGAGAGGGGCCCAGCAGGGTTCTGAGATGAAGTAATGTAACCGGAGGCAGAGCTTTCTGTCCCGTATGCCTGATTATACCTGGCAGTTACTTCCCAAATTACCACTCAGAGGCTTATATTAATCATAAATCCTTGGCTGATGGCTCAGGCTTATTACACTTACATTAACCCATATTTCTTATCTATGCTTTGCCATGTGGTTCATAGCAACCTGGTTACCTCATTTTCTACATGTTTTGCTTCCTTGGTGGCTGGCTGGCTGGCGTCTGCCCCAACTCCACCCTTCTTCACCTCTGTCCTCAGTTTGGTTGTACCACCTAACCTTTTCTTGCTTCGTCATTGGCCAAAACTGCTTTATTATCAATGAATGAGAGCAACACACACTCACAACATACAGAAGGACATCCCACAGCAAAGTAAATGTCTTAGTACTTTTCTATTGCAAGGAAGAGAGACCATCACTGAGGCAGTGTAGACAAGGAAGAGTTTATTAGGGGCTTACAGTTTCAGAGGGCGAGTCCGTGACCACCATGGTGAGGAGCACCGGGGCAGCAGGCATGATGCTGGAGCAGCAGCTGAGAGCTCACACGCTGAAACCACAACCAGAAGCTGAGAGAGAGCCAACTGCCAATGGCATGTGCTTTTGAAACCTCCAAGGCCACTCTCAATGACACACCTTCTCCAACAAGCCCACACCTCCTGCTGTGGAATAATCCTCTTGTACATTGTAAATATTTGTCCCTTTAATTGGTTTAATAAGCTGATGATTGGCCAGTAGCTGGGTAGGAAGTTAGGCAGGAAATCCAAACTGAGAAGGATGGAAAGGAGGAGAGCAGAGTCAGGAGTCACCAGCCAGACACAGAGGAAGCAAGATGAGAATGCTGTACTGAGAAAAGGTACCAAGCCACGTGGCTAAATATAGCTAAGAATGATGGGTTAATTTAAGTGTAAGAGCTAGTTAGTAACACGCCTGAGCTACCGGCTGAGCATTTATAAGTAATATTAAGCCTCTGTGTGGTTATTTGGGACTGGCAGGCAGGAGAGAACTGTCCTTTTACACACTAATCTTTTCCAAACAGTTCTACCAACTGGAGACCAAGCATTCAAACATATGAGCTGTGGGGGGGGGGGGGTCACATCACAGTAAATAATAATTTAAGAAAGGGCCTGACCTATCAAGGGCCCCACTAAAGAGAGCCCTTCTTTTTTGGGGAGTCAGGGTTTCTCTGTGTAGTTTTGGTGTCTGTCCTGGATCTCGCTCTGTAGACCAGGTTGGCCTTGAACTCACAGAGATCCTCCTGGCTCTGCTTCCTGAGTGTTGATATTAAAGGCATGCTCCACCACCGCCCAGCAAGAGAGTCCTTCCTTAAAGGTTCACCCTTTTCCAGATATTGTTTCTAGGGTGGGAGTTCATGTTGGTCTTTCAACCATCTCTGGACTCAGGGCTGGGGCACTCAGGAAGGAAAAGAACTGAAAAAAACAGATGTGTGGTAAGGCAGGATAGCTGTGAGACCCTCGTCTGAGAGACCAGAGCTGGGCCAGCTCTGAATGGGGAAGCCTATAGGGACAGTGTGATCATCCATGCTGATAAGGCACAGCACTAATTGGCCTGTTCCTAGGCTGGGCATAGGGCTGATAATGAGGCGTGTTCACCCTTCCTTCATCCTCATATCACACTCTCAGGGTGGCTGCTGATGCCTTATTTGGACACTAGGGAAGTTGAGGCTGTCTGAACCTGGTCTCATCTCTTCATCTTCAGGAGACGATGTTCACTCTCGCAGAGCCTGGATCTATCCAGCACTCCAGCATCTGCCGGTACCCACTGAAGGGAGCTGGGGATAAAGGTGGACATCGGACCTTGAGGCTTCAGAGAGCAGACAGAGATCTCAGAGCAACAGACCTGAAGTCTACTTCCATGAGATACCCAGAGGGTGAAGCCGACGAAGCCTGGGCAGTGATGTGACCAGGTGTCCTGCAGCTTGGAGCTCAGGATGCAGATGCCTTTCCTCCCCTGCAGCTGGGTGAAAGCCCGCTCTCCACTCACTCCATGTGTCCCCTGGCCTGACTTCTAGTTGCTGGAAGGCGATGCTGTTCTCTTGCCTTTGCTGGTGTCAGAAGCTGCACGTGTCATGTGGTTGTATTTTAGCAGCACTTGGGAATCTGCTGCAGGATGGAGAACTAGAGGGGACAGGTGCACAGTCGCCAGGACAGAGGCAAATTATTGTATCTGATCCCTGGGGTGAGGTGGCTAGACAGGAAGAGAAAGAGATAGGGCTGATGGATGGATGGCCATGCCCCAGGGAGGAAGGTGCCTCAGGGGATTGTTCGGACAACAGAGGGCATTGTGAGTGCTGTCCTGATGTGATCAATAAGTCTGTTTCACCTGGTCAGATCAGAGTGTGGGCTCTTCTCCAATATCCCAAACAAGTCCCATGCTTCCCGAGTCCTACCCAATGAAATCATGTTTCTTCAATGTGATAATCACCATTACCTCTACAATCATCACCACCATCACCCCCTAACATCATCCAAACACAACCATCACCATCACTGTCCTCATTACCACCACCACAGCCACTATCATCACCACCACCACCATCACCACCATCACCACCACTGCCACCACCACGACCACTGCCACTACAATCTTTATCTCCATTCTACTGTGATCTTTATTTGTCATTGTTATCAGCTCATTACAGACTTCAGCATCTTCCACTTCATCAGCATCACAATAATCATCATTATTGTTGATTTTGACATCATCATCACCACCATCATCATCACCACCATCATCATCACCACCACCACCACCACCACCATCATCATCACCACGTCCTCATCCATAGAGATCTGGATGAGTCTTAACATTTTGCTGAATATATTACTTTATTTCATTGGGTTTATTCGTCATGGCACCCCCAGGAAGAAACCTCCACAAAAAAATGATCCCTGAAGCATTTGGTCCTCACCTCCAAAGACGAGCCATTCTGAGGAGGGCATGGGTCCCAGTAATTCTCAGATCCCTCCCCATAGCCTGTTTTCTAAAGAACCACTCAACAAAACAAAATTCCAGTTTATTGTTGGACACTGCTTCACACATCCATCAACAGACGCCAAACCCAAGAAAACCCCAGCGGCTTCATAGGCAAAGAAAACAGAAAATTTTATCTCTGGCTTTTTAAACCATCTCATACAAACTAACCACTTATAGTACAGCTAGATTCATACACAAAAAAGTTCCTGGAACACTCAAAATAAGATTTTTTATAGTTGTTGTTTTTAATGTTTAAAGAAATCCCTCTTTTGAGATTATAATTAACATGGTTATGTTGTAAGAAAAGTAAGAAATAGGACAGAGCACACTGTGAAGGCTGGCTCGGTCACTGTCGTCACTAGAGTTGACCTTTAAAGTCCTTTAAAGAGGAAAAGCAGGGTCCTGGCAGTCCGTGCTCTTTTTCTCCCTGTGGCAAATTCTTGGGAGACTGGGTGAGTTGGCTTCTCTACACCAAGGTGACCGTGTGTAGATTCGGAGATGGCAAGCGGAGGGAGTTTAACTTTCCTTCGTGGCTGTCCAGTCATTCTCACCTGTCTCTTGTTTCTTGGTGTCAACATCATCATCCTCATCATCTTCAGCTGCCACCTGACGATAGCTGCCTCAGTTTCCCTCCTCGTCCTCACCATCACCCTCCTCCTCCTCTGCCTCGTTGTAAACCTTCTGCTCTCCATTTTCCTCCTGAGCATCCCCATCAGCAAGTACACCTCATCTTGTCTCTTCTATTTTCTGTCTCCTCCTCAACTTCCTTCTTCTCCTTCAGGCCCTTGGTGGTGACCTCAGAGCTGGTGTCCATGCTCCACATCACATAATCGTGACCCAAGGAGAGCCGTGGGGACCAATGACCACAGGAACATGGCCAGAAAAGGTGGGGCATATTTCTAGAGTTTGAGACCTCCCTCTCTAGCCCTCCCTATTTATTTTAAAGCAAAATTTTTATTGTGTGCATATGTGTGTTTGCACATGTGTGTGTATGCTCATACACATGGAGGCCAGAGAACAAGCCCTGGGTACCACCTTTAGGAACACCATTCACCTCCTTGACAGGGTCTCTCGCTGGTTTGGAGTTCACTGCTTGGGCTAAATTGACTGGTCAGTGAGCCCTGGGGACCCTCCTGTCTTTTTCTCACTGGTGCTGGGATTCCACACACCACCATGCCTAGGATTTTTATGTCAATCAAACTGGGGATGAAACTCAGGTCCTTACACTTACAACTCAAGCACCTTATTGAGTTAACTCTCCAGCCTTAAATAGATAAACAAAACAAAACAAAACAAAACAAAAAAAACCCTCAGATTTCTTTTGGGTCCTTACTTTACTGGTGAAAATCAGGCCAGCATACCATAGGGAGTGGCACCGTTAGGAAGTACGGCCTTGTTGGAACAGACCCTGAGGAGTAGAGTCCCTCAAAGGAATAGAAGGTAGAGGTTGGAGTAGATGGAGTTGGGGGGGGGGCACAGTCCCAGGTTTTCTACTGTGTGAAAGGAGAGCCTGGTTGGTGTAAGGACACCTGGGCTTTGTCCCTTCATGCTCACTGTGTGACTTGGGCGAGGCCGAGGTTGGTCCCTGGTCCACGTAGGTGACATGCACGGAGGAGAGGAGCTGATGAGTGTCACATAGTCCATCCCCACATTAGTGCTGCTGTAAATGATGGGGCAGCCCAGTTCTGGTGTCTGGCTAAAGTGTGAAACCTGGCAGGCATATGTCCTTTTCAGGGGATCAGGAGAGGACTCTTCCTTGCTTCTTCCTGCTGTGATGGATACTGTGTTCCTTGGCTGGTGGCTGTTTGCCTCCAGTTGTCTGCCTCTGTGGTCACATGTCTGTCTGCCCATCACCATCTGCCTGTGTCTCACACACACACACACACACACACACACACACACACACATTCCCCCCCCCCCCCGTGATGGAGTTTAGGGCCACCAGCTGCTCTCATCTTGTGCCCTGTGGAGAGGTTGTACCTGCACACTGCTTCCAAATCAACCATATTCACAGGCTCCAGGAATTCAGATGTAGACATATAGTGGTCTTTGTTGAGGATGGGTGGCATTCTGTCTACTGCTTTGTCCCCACCAGTCCTGGAAAAAGTTGGAGCTTCTGATCTTGGTATCTGGGATCCTCCATAGCCTGAGTCTTTGTTTGTTTGTTTAGACAGTTTTCCTTAGCTAGCCTGGTCTTGAACATGATGTGTAACTTCTCATCCTCATGCCTACTCCTCCCCAGTGTTGTGACTATAGGCATGTACCACCACACCCGTGTTATGAAATGCTGGGGGACCTTATACATGCTAGGCAAGTGCTCTACCAATCTATCCACCTCCCAGGTCCTTAAGCCTGGTTTAAATAGTTTTATTTATACTTATTACTTATTTCATTTTATATGTATTAGTGTTTCTCCTTCATGTACGTCTGTGCATCTTGTGTGTGCCTGGTGCCTTTAGAAGCCAGAAGATTGTGTCAGATCACATGTGGAAGCAGAGACCCGGGTCCTCTGCAAGAACAAGTGCTCTTAATGACTGACTGACTCATTTCTCTGCCCTTCAGCCTGATCCTTGATTCCCACTTCAACTTCATTCTACTGTAAACTAGAGTATGAATCGGATATAAGCCATTACCTTTTGTCTTAGTTTGGGTTTCCATTGCTGTGAAGAGACACCATGACCACAGCAACTCTTATGAAAGGAAAACATTTACTTGGGGCTGGCTTACAGTTTCAGAGGTCTAGTAGATTATCATCATGGGACAGGCGTGGTGCTAGAGAAGGAGCTGAGAATTCTACATCTTGATCCAAAGGCAACAGGAAGTGAACTGTCTACCACACTGGGCATAACTTGAGCATATGAGACCTCAACACCTGTCCCCATAGTGAAACACTTCCTCCAATAAGGCCACACCTACTCCAACAAGGCCACGCCTCCTAACAGTGCCACTAAGGGCCAACCATCAAACATATGAGTCCGTGGGGGCCATCCCATCTTGCCCCCCACTGTTAAGGGGTCTTTTGGAAGAGGATCACCTGAGAAGAGTCATGACCTAGAAGTTCCAGACTCCCCTTTGTGAGTCTGTTCTTCCTCTGGCCCGTGGGACTGCTGATCCAATAGCCCAGGCCTCAGTTTCCTTTTGTAATCATTGGACAATGCATTCAGTGAGCTAAGCCCTGTGTGTTTGAAGGTAGACAGACACATGCCTTCCCTGCGTGCCTGCCTTCCTCCCTCCCTGCCTCCCTTCCCTCCCTCCCTGCTTGCCTCTCTGCCTCCCTCCCTGTCTCCCTCCTTCCTTCCCTCCCTCCTTCCTCTCCTCCCTCCCTCCCTTTTCCCCTCCTCCCCAGCCTTCCTACCTCCTCCCCGCTTCCTCCGTGCCCCTTATGCAGGGTTGTAGTGAAGGAAATGAAAGTAAAAACACTCTGGCCAATTCAAACACTTAGTGCAAGTGAGTGCATGGTAATTCTTCTCCCTTAGGATTTGGCCACCTGGACGATGCAATGACCCTCCCCCGCAACACACACACACACACACTGTCTCCTCAGATGAACTTGGCATTCCTAATGCTAGTATGTCAGCTTCCTTTGCTTCTGGAAAAAAAAATAGCAAGGAGTTTTATGTTTCCTTAAAGGCCCTGCTGCTATCAGCTCCCAGCTGCTCCTCTCCTCCCTAGGACTGCTTTGGTACTCTTGGGGTGCCTGGAGGACATCCTGAACTGCACCCCACAGCACGTGCTCAAGGGGAACAAGCCTTGAGCGAGTTGTCCCCTTGGCGCATGTCAATGATGGCTGAGAGGGGGCTCCAGATCCAAGCCAGAGCCCAGAGCAGGCTGCCCAGAAGGATGCCTGAGTGCCCCTAAGCCACGAGTTAAACAATCCATACCCTCTGCCAATGGTACCAGCATCTCAGGAGCCGTGGTCTCAAAGTCCCTCCAGAGAACAAGGGACAGAAGCTGATGGCTGATCATGAAGGAAGTCCAATGTCATCTGTCCCACAGCCAAGATGGGAGGACCTGGGTAGATGCTAGGAACTTTGTGGGGAGGACAGAGACCCATAGTGTTCTGGCTCCCATCCTGGCGTCTGCCCAGAGCCTTGCCTTGGTCTGTCTTTCACAAAGCTTCCACCGAGTGCCCATGTTTACCTCAGTTTCTCTCACACCTCCTGTTCACCCCCTCAGCCCCTCACAGCAGTTTTAGACAGCTGGTTTGGGGAGGGGGTTCTATGATTTTTATTCTGAGCCCAAGGACTACTTTATTAGAGTTTAAGAGAGAGCATAGGGTAGGCAAAAGTCCCAGCAGTTGCCAGGAAAAGATAGAGAAAAAAATCATGCCTTTTTGACACGGACAAGAAGTAGCTCATTAAGAAAGGGAAAAGCATGTGCTGGAGAGATGCTCAGTGGTTAAGAGCACTGGTTGCTCCTGCAGAGGACCTGGGTCTGACTTCCAGAACCTACATGGTGGTTCACAGCCATCCATAACTCCAGTCCCAGGGGATCTAACGCCTTCTTCTGGTCTCCTTGGGCACAGGCACACACACGGTGCACATACACACATACATGCAGACAAAACACCAGGATAGATTTAAAAAGCAGGGGTGAGGCAGCACCCCTAAGAAGGGAAGTGGGCTAGTGAGTTGAGGAAAGAGCCCAGAAGTTTTGAAATGTAGTTTTGACCAAATCCTAAGTGCAGCCCTTGGAACCCCTCTGCCCTCACTTTGCTCCGCCCACACTGCCCTGGAGCTATCTGCTTGCTGCCTTTTCAGCCTCCTCAGATGGGAGCCAGTGAGATTTTCTCAACTGTCACCTGCTGGGCTTCTAGGCAAGCCCTGGCCTGGCCTGCTGACTGGCTCTGAGGCTCCGTCCTTCCTCCCTGGTTCATTACTGCTGTCCACTCACACCGTGATGGGCCCAGCCTGCTGTTCTGGGGTTGGGCCTTCCGCTGGCCAGGACCCCGGCTGCTCCTCCGTGCGGTGCCTCACCTCCCCCCTCTCACATGGGTGTCACCCAGTCCCGACTGGTTAGTTCTGTGGTAGCCTACTTCCCAGACAATCTCCACGCACTGGGACTGGGGACAGGGGACAGAAAGTCTGTTTACACCCTCTGTGGTGTTAGCTGTCTGTGAAGCTGTGCTTGGTGGGTGTGCTTGTCAGAGCCCGCCTCAGAAACAAAGCAGAGCTGAGGATGGACTCATGGTGGAGCTCTCCTGACTAGTGTGTGTGTGAGACCCTGAGCTGAATGCTCAGTGCTGGAAGGAAAATGGGGAGGGGGTTGGGCTGCACAGCTTGTTAAAATGTGCGTATTTTGTTTTCAATCATGTGTGTGTATGTGTATATGTGGGTGTATATGTGTGTATATGTGTGTATGTGTATGTGTGAGTGTGTGTGTGTATATATGTGTGTATATATACATGTGTGCATGTGTGTGTATATGTGTATGTGTGTGTATGTATATATGTGTGTGTATATGTGTGTGTATGTGTATATGTGGGTGTATATGTGTGTATGTGTATGTGTGAGTGTGTGTGTGTGTGTATATGTGTGTATATATACATGTGTGTATGTGTGTGTATATGTGTATGTGTGTGTATGTACATGTGTGTATGTGTGTGCATATGTGTATGTGTGTGTGTACATGTGTGTATGTGTGTGTATGTATGTGTGTGTCTGCTCACTTGCATGCAGGTGCTTGTGGAGTCCAGAAGGTGTCATTAGATTCCCTGGAGCTGGAGTTTCAGTCAGTTGTAGCCATCCAATGTGGGTGCTGGGAATGGAACTCAGGTGCCAGGCAAGAGCAAGGCATGCTCTCAACCACTGAGCTGTTCCTCCAGCTCTGCATTGCTTTTTATAAAGCTAGCAGCAAAGGTTATCTGGGCCATGGGGGCCACGGGGACCATGGGGCCATGGGGGCCACGGGGGCCACAGGGGCCATGGGAGCCATGGGAGCCATGGGGCCATGGGAGCCATGGGGGCCATGGGAGCCATGGGGCCATGGGGGCCATGGGGGCCATGGGGCCATGGGGGCCATGGGGGTCATGGGGGCCATGAGGCCATGGGGCCATGACCATCCTCTAATCTTTATATCTGCTATTTCTCAAAATTTTAGGATGCACGTTTTTGAATAATCAGTCTTCACCTTACTTTTTGAGACAGAGTCTCTTACTGAGCCTGAAGCTCATTGACTGGCTGGACTGCTGGCTACCAATGAGCCCCAAGGATCCTCTGTTCTCCACCGTCTAGAGCTGAGGTTATAGACTTCATGCCATGCCTAGGTTTTTATCTAAGTGCTCATTCTTGCCAGGCAGCCTCTCTGTTCACTGAGCCATCTCCCTGGTGTTATGAGAGTGTCTTTTACGCAGAGGGTGAGGTCCATCCTAGACTTCCCTGTACCTCACTGAGATGGACATCCTATCTCCCAGGCAGGGGCATGACTGTGGGGAATCTCTGGTGTCACCGAAGGTATTGGGGCGGCAGGGTCTGGAGCCGGGAGTCAGGCAGAGGGTTAGAACTCTGAAGGAGGGGCTACTTTGTGTCTCTCTTCCCTGAGTCTCACACTGACCAATGGGAGTCCCTTGGCCCACCCCAACCTTTTCCCCCTCAGCCTCCTGTTCTGTATTGTTTGGCTTTATAAAAACCTTGATGCAGGGCTTCCATTATGGAAAGTGCTGTTTATGTCCAGGGCGCCTTGAAAAGGCAGCTGAAGTCTCCCTGGCTGCGGTCCTCTCCACTTGTTGCCCTGGCAACCGGAGGCAGGGAAAACAGGACCTGTCAGATGGAAAATGTCAGTTACAGCAGATCTAGAGAACAGGAAGCAGAGCGGGGAGGGGAGAGGCAGGAGAGCTGGGCTCAGTCTCCCGCCCACCCTGGCTGTGCCCTTGCCCCTGGAGAGGCTGCCCTGGGAAGGAGAGGGCCTGTTCCCAGAGCAGAAGGCTTTCGAGAGGAGAGAGAGGGTGGGGGAAGGAAACACACCTGAGAGTAACAGGACCTGACGGTCGCATTGTTTTAGAGGTGATTTGGGCTGGGCATTAGGAGGGATCAGGAGCACATCTTCGAAGCCTGACTAACTGAGGGTTTGCTGCGCAGGGTCTGGGCAGGGGGAGGGGAGGGTTGGGAAGGATAGACACCAAATCTTGGCTCTCCAGGCTCTGGACCTGCTCCCTTGCCCTCTGTACCCATCCCTTTCTCTGCTTCCTACGGATGGATTCACTGCCCTGAAGAGGGTCAGGTCACCCTTTAAAGTGGTGAGGAAGGTGCTTCAAAAGAGTCCTGCCTGTGAGCAGTACAGATCCTCTCAGGACACACGGGTGAGGGAACAAAGGAGGGTCGCTTTAGACGCCTTGAGGGAGGGCGAAGCCATCAGTTCTGGAAGAAGTGAGACGCAGGTGCAGGGAGGGGGCTCTCTGAGAGAAGGATGGGCATGTGTGAGCATGTGTGAGCACGTGTGAGCATGTGTGAGCATGTGTGAGCACGTGTGAGCATGTGTGAGCACGTGTGAGCACGTGGGAATGTGTGTGTGTGGGGAAGAATATGTGCATGTGTGCATGGGTGTGTGGTCTCTCTCTCTCTCTCTCCTCTCTCGTTATCCTCAGAAATTCTTCAAGTCCCCCAAGCTCCCAATTCCCTGAAGGGATGACATCTACCCTCAATTGACCGGGGAGAGTGTGGGACCTAGAGAGGCTGCTGTCTAAGGTCAAAGGGGCCCCCATCACATGCTTGGGATGCCATCCAGAGGGGCAACATTTAAAACAAAACAGCATCCTTGTGTACATGTGTGTGAGGCTGTGTGGCTCCAAAGAGAAGCCAGAGCTGCATGCCGAATGAGGAGAGGTAGGCTCACTACCAGACTGGACTGGGTTATCCTGAGGGAGACCCAGGTACAAAGGGCTGGCATCTGAAAGTGGGGATAGGTGAGGGGAGCCTGCTTCAGGGACTTTTCTTTTCAAAAACTTGAGCACAGTTTAATCGATTTATTGTTTGTGTGTATGTGTATGGGCCCGCAGGTGCCTGGGCGTGTGTAGAGGTCAAAGGGCGGTTTGTGGGAGCTGCTTTTTCTCCTCTCACCGTGTGGGCTCACAGATCAAACTCAGGCCGTCAGGCCTGGCCTCAAGTGCCTTTTGCCCACTGTGCCGGGTTGCCGCCCCATTAAGGATTTTTCTCATTCCAGGGTCTTCTGCTCTGGGCTTTGAGGGTCCTGTTTGTGCTGTGTGGGGTAGGGTACCACCCACGAAGCTGCCTTAGTCACAGCGGCAGCGGTCGGAGGGTCCACAGACGCTGCCTTTCTGGTAGAAGACGGGGAGAGACTCCTCAAGCCCTGTCTGGGTCAAGGTTCAAGGGCATCTCGTACCTCCTGGCTTCCAGAAGAATCTCGTAAACAAACTTCTGGGGCTGTCGATGTGGCTCAGTTGGTGGAGCACTTGCCTCACATCCCCGAAGCCCTGGGTGTGATCCCCAGCACTGTGCCTGATCGCCCCACACCTGTCGCCTGACGCTCAGAGGAGGAAGAAGCCAAAGGATCATCAGTCTAAAGTCAGTCTCGGCTATGTAGGGAGTTGAGGATAGCCTGGGCTACATGAGACCCTACTTAAAAAAAAAAAAAAAAGCCGGGCGGTGGTGGCGCACGCCTTTAATCCCAGCACTCAGGAGGCAGAGCCAGGCGGATCTCTGTGAGTTCGAGGCCAGCCTGGGCTACCAAGTGAGTCCCAGGAAAGGCGCAAAGCTACACAGAGAAACCCTGTCTCGAAAAACCAAAAAAAAAAAAAAAAAAAAAAAAAAGCAGGGGCTAGATAGTGGCTCAGTGGTAGAGCACTGGATGCTCTTGTAGAGGACTGGAGTTTAATTCCCAGGACCCACACGGAAGCTTACAACCCCCTGTAACTCCAGTTGTAGGGGATCCAATGTCCTAGTCTCTGAGGGCACCATGAACACTCGTGGTGCATAGACACATGTACAGGCAAAATATCCACATACATGAAATAATAAAAAAGAAGGCAGCTTCACACTCACTTTGGCTTTGACTTGAGCATCTTTATAAAGATGGGAGGTTTGTGGCTACAGCAGTCTTGAGAATGCAAGAATTGACAGAACACAGTACCCTTCCTGGGCTCTTCGTCACCCACTCTGACCACCTCTCAGGGCTTTCTGAAAGCCTTTCTCCTACATTTTCCACCCAAGGGACTCTTCCAGGATCTCCAGATAGGGCATCATCTATCTAGAGTTTTCTGCTGAAGGAGAGGGTGACCAAGGGGTTCTGTCTGTGAAGTCTGGCCCTCATGATCCTCTGCTGTCCCAGCAAAGGATGCTCGGCACATGACAGTGGTAAATCACCACTCCCCATGCTCACTCACAGACAATATGGACCTACTTGTCAGGCTGGGACATCCACAAATGATGACATGTTTCATCTTGATTGACAGTTACCTTCCCCTAGAAATGCAGTAACAGCCTGGCTACAATTATGTCTTGTTCAATCAAATGAGGGAATAAAAAGGACAGCCGTTACTTTATGGATATGGTCTCTGGCAGTTGTCTGTGGACCTAATCTTTATTCCCACGGCTCCTATGTTTCATTATTTTATTAAGAGCTAACTCTCGATTATCCACATGTGAGCCTGAGAGATGATTTTATTCCCATAGCTGTTTAATATTATTACTTTATTATTATTAGTTTGGCTTCCCCCACTCCAGGGCTCCGCTGGGGCCCTGAAAAGAACCTGACTGTTCACATGTGTCTTTACTGGCCTTTTTGAATTATGGCAGTAAACATTTATAATCCCAATGTCGCTTTTCCCTTCTAGAGGAGGGGTGGGGCCATATTTTTTTATTGTGCTAAAACACACATAACAGAATTTCCTGTTTTAGTTATTTATTTCCAGTTTTCATTATATTTATTTATTTTCTTGTGTGTGTGTGTGAGATAGAGAGATCACATGTGTGCCGTGGAGGTCAGACACACCTTCCGGGGGTCAGTTTTCCCCTTCCTCCACATAGATCCTGGGGTTCGAACTCAGGTCCTCAGGCTTGGCAGCAGGTGCCTTTCCCTGTTGAGGCATTCCTTCAGCTCCTCCTTCTCTATTAGATGTCCAGTCAGCTGTTGTTTCACATTCCCGCCAGCAGTACACTTGGATCCCACTTCTCTCATCCTTAGCAGTCCTTGTCAGAGGCGATTCTTGCTAACAAGATTGTGTCTCGAGAGAGAACAGCCTTTTCAAGGTTGGCCTCTGATCCATTACCTAGCCTTTTATTTTGGTTTGCGGTTTTTCTGCTTTTGGAGGCAAGCATACAGCCTAGTCTCATACAGCCTAGGCTGGCTTCACTGTGTAGCTGAGGATGGCCTTGAACTTCTCATTCTCCTACCTTACCTCAGGGATTAAAGGCATATACCACCGCAGCCAGCCACATTTTGCCTAGACTTTGATTTAGGGTGCTGCCAAGAGGAAGGTGTCAACGATGCGTCTCTCAGCTGGTACAGGAATGGGCGGTGGCTAGCAAGAGGGCTGACTGCTGCCAGTCCCCTTTATCCTGGGCCATGAGCTCCTCGGGGGAGCTCCCAGAGGCAGGGCCACTTAGCAGAGTCACTGGACAACAGCAGCACTTTAGACAGAGTCATTGGGGTGTAGGGGGTGGGGGGAGCTCAAAGCCCCACCTACTGTCAGCCCGGCAGCCTTTGCAGAGAATCCTTATCGAGCTTAGCTGTGCAAAATGCATTTTTCCAAGGCTGAATTGCAACAAGCAGGCATCTCCTTCGGGTATCCCCATTTGGGTGGGGGCGGGGGCAGGAAGGATTGTGGGCACAGCAATGCTGGTCTGGAAGCGAAAAATAGCTTTAGATTATCTACAAAGTACTCCTTCCACCGTGGATAATTGAGAGGTAGCCATGCTTATTTAGAGCCACCCTGTCGGGGACAATCACTGGAGGAGGAGGGGGGATAGGGGGAGGGATGAAAGTGATGTTAGTGAGCCAGACCTGGACAGAGGAGGGGCTCCTTCTGCATGTGGAGGCTGGACAGGGTCACCTCACTGGTCTCAGACTCCCACCCTCCTTTGGCCCCTACGAGGCCCCAGGACCCAGCTCACACTGGCCAAGATGGAAGTTAGTCCACTCAAGCACAGCCAACAATGCTTCTCTCTTTAACCCATTTTCAGCGCTGGCTGTTCTGTGGAGAAGGAGCTCAAAGAGAAGCCACAGAGGTGACAGGAAATGGTATCGTGGGCTTAAACACTCAAGGGATTGATCCAAGGCACAGCGGACTTGCTGCTCCAAAGCTCAGGCTCTTCCACTCTCAGCCAGCCAGTACTCCCGGGCATCTGTGAGGTGTCCCCTGGAGAAATCTTAGGATCCCACTCTGGCCTCCCTCCCACCCTCTAACTCCACAGAAGGGGAAGAGCCTTAAGCATGGGGTTGCCTCATCCTCTGTGAGGTGGATAAACTGGGGGTCTAAATAGACCCTCCTCCACAAACCCCAGCTCCCCCCGCTTGAATCAGACCTTGTTAGGATTTTTCCCTAGGTCCCCTGGCCCACTGGTTGGTTGGTCATGCTCTCTCATTCTCTCTCAATAAGAGTGTCCCCATGGCCGCATGCGCTCAGCGGGTATCGTGCTGGGGACTGGGAAAGTGCCGGGAGAGAAGGGCAGGGTGCAGAGCTGGTCAGAGGTGGTGCGGATGAATCATGCTGGCAGCAGGCACAAGTGAATGGAAAGTACCTGGAATTGTGCCTGGGTATGACACTCCTTCCCAGAGGCCTGCTCCTCCTCCCTGCTCCTCCTCCTCCCTGTTCCTCCTCCCTGCTCCTCTTCCTCCTCCTTCTCCTCCTCCTCCTCCCTGTTCCTCCTCCCCCCTCCCCTTTCCCCTTCTCCCTCCTCCCTCTCCCCCTCCCTCCTCTTCTCCCCTACTTCCTTCTTTATGAGGCAGGGTCTCTAACCTAGAATTCACTATGTAGCTGAAGATGACTTTGAACTTTTGATCCTCTGCTTCCACCTCCTGGGTTCTGGGATTGCAGGGGTGAGACCATGTTTTACATGATGCTGGGGATTGAGCCCAGGGCCTCATACATAGCAGGCAAGCACTCTGCTAACTTAGCCACACCCCCAGCTTCCCTAGGACAGGTTGTGTTATCATGAGCTTAAGACCCAAGGAATGAAGGATGCAGGCTCTCCTGGCTACCTCTGCGTCTTCTGGGGTGTCCAAGGCCACATGAGGTCCTGGTGTCTCCGTGTTGAGAGGCAGTCTTCTCTTGCTGGTCTGCACGCTGGGGTTGATTTGCCTTCACTCTTTCCCCAAGCTTCTCACAACCCTGCTCCTCACAGCCACCACCCACTCCACCAACAGGGGCCCATCAACGAGCCAGCAAAGCCCATAAATTATTGCACAAACCACTCCAAACAATCCCGACAATTTTACTTACTGAACCATTAAATGTACATACTTAAATTAGACCCAACGAGACATCGTGTGGGGATGTCTCGGGGCCAAGCAAACGAGTCTTGGGGGAGGTGCCGTCTTGTGTTGCCCCACCTCTCCCATGAAATTAATGAGGTGCTTCAATTTCACCATGATTACCACTCTGGCTTGCTTTGGCCAGTTGGCTGGGGTTGACCCTGCCGTCTCAGTCAGCAGTGGCCTCCTTTTGCTGCCCTGGGCTGTCCTGATAGCCAGCTCGAGGTCAGCAGGAAGTTGGATGCTGAGGCGCTGCTCTGGCCAGAGATGAGTGGGTCTCACTGTCAGATGCCCATCTCTGGGATCCACACAGGCCCAGTCGTGGCTATCGGAGCTACCACTCGGCAGACACAATGCCGGTTCTTCTCTGCCCCCATGTCTGACACGACAGCAAATGAGCCAATTACATCTGACATAGTGCTTGGGTCTTTTCTGCTCCTCAGGGTCCCACCTAGTTCAGGTTCCTTTGGTATTAACCCTTTTATACCCCGTCTGCCAGAACAATTTGTAGAGAAGCTAATCCTGGCCTGTTCTCTGTCCAGAACGCTTCTGTAACTTCCATTGTTTACTGGAGAATGGTCACAGCTGGGTATGGTGGTCAAGGTGCCTCCTGTCTTCCCTTCCCCCATCTCTCCAGCCAGTCTAGACCTTTGCCAAGCACCATCCACAGTGAGACCTCCAACCCTCCACACTTCTTGGAGCCATGCAGGTCTAGAATACTATCCCACCTCTGTTCTGTGCACACAGCTTTTGTCCTTTAGCACAGTGGTAGACCCTTACCACCTGTTCCAAGCACACAGTGGCAGCCCAGTTCCTCCATCTAAAAATGCCTTTCCAAGTCTCCACACTGGGTTAAATGCCTGAAGACATCCCAGGCTGCCTCTTCTCCCTCGCTGAGGTATCTGCAGTGGGCAGTGTGTCCATGTGTCCAGCACCTAGCACAGAGTCTGCTGAGCAGGAAAAGTCAGAGACGTTCAGTACCTGGGAGTGTCAGTAACCAGAAGCACTGGTCCGCAAACGTCTGCCCTCACTGTGGTGTACCTCTCACTCTCCAAGTGTTTGCGAGGTAGACCCGGCCTGGCTGTGTTGGAGAAATCCATTCAGTGGCCCAGAGTGGGACCAGTGCTCCCACATGTGTTTGTGGACAGCAGTGGACACCTGGTTATTGTTACACGTGGCCCAGATGTCACCCACTAAGTACCGAGAAACTTCTGGGTTCTATGGTAACTGCTGTGGGATGGTCTGTATGTCAAATCTGTTGCTCTGATTGGTCAATAAATAAAACACTGATTGGCCAGTGGCCAGGCAAGAAGTATAGACGGGACTAACAGAGAGGAGAATTGAGAGAACAGGAAGGCAGAAGGAGACACTGCCAGCCGCCGCCATGACAAGCAGCATGTGAAGATGCCGGTAAGCCACGAGCCACATGGCAAGGTATAGATTTATAGAAATGGATTAATTTAAGATATAAGAACAGTTAACAAGAAACCTGCCACAGCCATACAGTTTGTGAGCAATATAAGTCTCTGTGTGTTTACTCAGTTGGGTCTGAGCTGCTGCGGGACTGGT